CTCCACCAGTGTCTGAAGTGCATCTCCTTCACTTTCAATGTACTCCTCAATGCTAACATCACCGAGCCAGTCTCCATTCGTGAACAACACAATGGTGCTGCTCCATGCTTTCCCTCCCAGAACATGCAGATGGTCCTGAGCTGCTTTCAGGTTCTTTAGCGTAAATGAGGAACTGGCATTGACAACCAGCAGGATGATGCAGATCCCTCTGGCTGAACCAGAAACCCAGTCATGGAGAAGTTTTCTGCTGAAGTCTGCATTATCTGGACACTCAGTTGTCCAGCCTGTTGTGTCAATGACCTCAACCTTTGTGTTGTTGAACATAACCGTTCCTCTAATGGGTTTTTGGCTGTCAGCCTCTTGTCCATCATTATCCAAAATGCAGCATGCAGATGATGTCTTACCAGAGTGCTTGCCGCCCAGGAGGAAAACTCTTATGGCTGAAGGCAATCGCACCTGATCTGTTAAGAGGAAGAAAACAAATCTTAAAGGGTTAGGTCTGTCATCATTTACTCACCCTTATGTTGTTCCAAACCCATAAGACTTAGAACTATATTTTGAATGAAATTAGATTCTAAAATCAGTAAAGATGAAATTAGGATTAGATCTTCGCTCTATTAAAAGTTCAAAAGTTCACGCAACTAAAACTTTGAAGATCCAAAAAGGTCATAAAGGCATAGTTTAGTGAAGTCTGAGGGGTTTACTTAACTTCATTTATTCATATGGTTTAGTTTTAAAATTCCTTTATGTTCTTTTTTTTTGGATCTTTTTTGATTTTTTGGTTGCAAAACCTCTCAGGTTTCATAAACAATATCTTAATTTGTGTTTCAAAGGTTAACCAAAGTCTTATGAGTTAGAATGAGCGTGAACTTTTTTGATTTAAAAAATCAATACATCAATCCTTCTTCTAAAACACATTTTTGTCTTACGCTGATTCACTATGGTAAACCTATTACACAAGTGGCTTTCACAGGAAATGATTTACATACACTTTGACGTGTGTATGGTATGTGAGTAGTATAGGTTAGTTGTCGCAACGAGCAAGAAAGGTTGACATGGAGTAGCTAAATCTTCAACCTCCAGAGAATCACCCGTTTAAAACAAATGCCAACATTGCATAATTCATACTCAAATTTTGTATCACAGTCTAATTTAATAGATGATTCTGGGAGAAAACATTGCTCACTTACTCTTAAAAGCTCTCAAGCTTTCTCTTCTTCTGAGCACAATTTCACGCCGTAGCTTCGCCATGTCTTCCTGTACTTTCCGCTTTCTCTCAATCTCTTTAAAAAGACTCTCATCTGTTTGAAAGTGTCTCACGCAATTTCCTGATATCATCTCCTTTATCTTCTCCAGTAGCTCTGTTGTCTGGAACTTATTCCCAAGGCTTTTGTTGTTTAGCACATGGTAGCGGTCTCCACATCTCTCCACGAGCCACTGAAGGGCCTTTCCTTCGCTTTCAATGTACTGCTCAATGGTTGTGTCACCAAGCCAGTCACCAAAGGTGAACAGCACTATAGAGTGATTCCAGACGTCCTTACCAACAAGCTCTACATGCTCTTCAATGGCTCTCCTGTAGATCTCTGTGAATGACCTGTCCAACCGCACCACCAAAAGGAAAGCATGGGGACCGGGTGGACACAAATAAACACTGTTGGCGATTTCTTGTTTGTCAAAGGCTGAAGAATCCTGGGTAAAGTAGTTCATCCACCAGCCAGGTGTGTCCACCACTGTGACCTCTCTTTCCAACATTGTAAACGTTTTCTTCATGCACCGCGTGGTCCGCTTCTTTGCTGTAAAGCTTAGGTCACTTCCTGCTGCTAGAATGTTGTTTCCTGTCGAGCTCTTCCCTGAGCCCTTTGCTCCAAGCAGGACGAGTCTTATGTTATGGTGATGAGATGAGTGCACTTAAGGGAGGAAGAAAAACAATTCAGTTTTACAATAAAATGCAACTGATAAAATACTGTAAAGTCACATTTACTTATATAGCACTTGATACAAATACTAAACACTGGTAATCTTGTAAAATGCATATTTTAAGGGTTCTCTCAAAGTTATGAACTAAACATGAACATTAACGAAACGAGTTTTGTTAGCTTGGTTAGTGTCATTACCCAGCTCAGTTTAGTTTCCATTTAGTTAAATCGATAATATTACGGAATTGCCTTTTAATGGCACATTTATTGTTTTAGTGTATCTTATTTTAAAACTCACCCTTCAGAGTAGATCTCTGTTTCTGTATCTTCATTAGTCTTTGATGAGCCTTGAGCTCCACTTCCCTCTTCCTATCCTCTATCTCCTGTAAAGCCTTTACATCCATTTCAAAATGTTGTCTTTCATTTTCTGCAACCATCTTGTCGATTTTCCCCATCAGTTCCATTACTTGGGTGGTATTGCATGTTTTCTGGCTATCAAGAACATGAAACCTGCCACTGCATTTCTTCAGGAGCCACTGGAGGGGTTTACCTGATGCATGAACAAGATCCTCAAATGAGTTTTTGCTTTTTGTGAACAGCACCAGAACGTGACTCCAAACCTTATCTCTGAAGAGCTCAAGATGCTTTTCTACGGCTCTCCTCCGCTTTTCTATGAACACAGAGTCTGTTTTCACCACCAGGAGAAAGACATGAGGCCCTGGGAGACTCAGACAGACGCTGTGTTTGATTTCTCTCCTGACCAGCTCTGGTGTGTCTTGTGCTGAGAAGTCACACCACCAACCTGGGGTATCCACCACCGTCACACTTCTCCCTTGTACTTTGGCTTTTCTTTTTAGGCAAGTGGTCCGTTCATGGAGGACAAACTCTTCTTGGTTTAAGATAGCATTTCCCACTAAGCTCTTTCCAGAATTTCGGCCTCCAAGTAGGATGATCCTCAACTCGAACAGATGCTGCACATTCCCTTGATTAAGCGACAAATGTGATATATTTTCAATGCTTTAGATTAGAAGACATTATATTATTCAGAACTCAGATTAATGTAGCTAACAGAGATGTTCTTAGAACTTTAGCTAAAATTAAATTCATGAACAAACATTCTTCAAATAACTTTAATAGAATGTTTGGTCAGAGTTATCTGATCTTTAAAAACGTTCTCAATAAACGTTAGCACAAAAACGTTATTTTTGAACATTCAGAAATAGTGTTTTTATAACTTAATGGGAGCGATAGCCAAACATTCTTGGAACATATTTTTTCATCTTCCAAAATGGACATGTTATGCAGTGCTTCTATTGTCCCCAAGTCTTTGCAGATTAATAATTCAAGAAAAAGACAAGAATGTGAGACGAGAAGAAGTTAAAATATAACCTGAAATTACACGTCAAAGTTTATGCAAATACTTATACATAAAGACAGACCCAATATGACCCACAGCTGGAACATGCACTTCACTAAAATATACAAATACTTACTCAAATGGTGAGTACTTACAGTACCATGGTATAAATATAAAAAACCTGTGTGGTACATGTCACGAATCACCCCCCACTTCCCCCCAATTAATTATTGTGAACATTGTCTGTGAAGACATTTGTAAAAAAAAAAAAAGATTAAATATGAAATTTACAAAAAACTTACTTTGATCCTGTGAAGTTCCTTTTAGAGCCATAATAGGTCATAAAGATGTTTTATATATTCAAAAACACAATTCATCTGTATTGGCTCGCATGTTAAAAAACTCCTGTATTTTTTTATTATAAAAATTTTCCAGTGGAAAAGTACAACACAAGTGAATCATCGTTAGGTGTGTATTGGAACAAGTGTAACGTCAACCTTTTCCATGGGTCCAAAGTTTAGTGAAATACCAAAATGCCACTCCTTCATACACAACAGAGCCATATAATTTTTTAGGTTATGCTTATTCTTTTTAATCAGATCTCTCCCCCCAAATTTCTTGCTCTGAAAAAAGAAATATGAAAGCTATTCCATTGTAGAATTACTATTGCATTTATTATTGTTACTGTCATCATGATATCATGAATTTACTAACCAAACTAGTTTTATCTTTGTTATGTTACATTTTGATTGTTTCAGAGAGACTGATCACAGAGAGAAGGGCAACGTTCACAACAGTTACAGCTTAAACCAAATACCACAAACAATCAGCAAATCTGAGTGTCTTCCTCAAGCGAGTGACGAAATACAATACAAACAGAAAAACACAGATAAGCTTGATCATGCACTCCATAAGGCAAGAGGTCAAGAAACTGAGGGAAAGCAACAAAAAATCTGAGGCATGAAGACAGGAGATATTCATTTGGAGAGACCAGGAAAGGCCACAAGGGAAATAACCAGAAACTTGAGGGGAGAATCAGAGAGGAAACCAGGAGTAGCTCATGACACATTTGCGGAAAAACAAAACACATTGATTGAGAGGACAGAATCGACACTGATGGTGAGACAGGGTTTAAACTCCTGAGATTTTTATTTATCTACATGCATGCCAACTTTTCTCTTTCCTCAAAGACCCCATGAACTATTGGTATACTATAGGCTACAGTAGATCTTGAAACAATGATGTGCTACTAGCTAATCAGTTGCAAGTTGCATTAAGGAAAGGACATTCTCATTCTAAAGAGCATTTTATTGGACAATAATCTTTGTAGTGCAGGATGAGTCATCAACATTTTTGGTCCATTTGTTTTGGTAGGCTACACTATCATCGCCATTGCATGGATCTTTTTTGTATTCCTTTCTAAAACATAAAATATAGCCTAATAGGGTTTTTCTTAGATAATTTTAAACCATATTTAAAACCTATATGGCCTATTCTATAATGACATTTGACCCCGTTTTATAAAATCAAGTGATTGAGTTTAATTGTACATAGATATACATTTCTTTTAAGTTTGCTTCTAATTTAATGGCAAACTACATGAAAATCTAGATAATGGAGAGATTTTTCAAATTATCATCCATAACATAATTTCAAATCAGCTCTGACAAGCCGTTCCCTCTCTTCTTCGCGCCATCAGCACACCGGAAATTGTCATCGCCCCATTTCCCCCTGGTGACTGTCACTTCCGTATGATCGTATTAAGCAACACGCCGCTGTGCGACATACTCACGTACACACACAATAAAGTCCAAACTGCTCTTAAAACACGGATTTACCACACCGAGATGCATATCAAAACAGGTATGTGTCGTCTTTAAATTGTATTTGGCTTGATTTGGATGTTAAATTGCGGGAGCGTCTTGCAATATGAAGTTAAGTTGTTGGTGCTCGAGCGGGACGGAATGAGCTCTCGAGACTTATGAAACTTTATTTCTGGTTCTTTCCGAGGTCACTAAAATCTTTCGTTGTTGTGGTTTATATTTTTTAATGATCTGATTAGAAATAGTAGTGAAGTAGTGGCTGTTATTTAAACTGAAGCTTCGGGTTTGTTCAGCTGAAGGCGGTTGTTATGGGCGCTAAATATCCAAACATAAGCGGCCTGGTGTTAGCGTTAGCAATCTCGACACACTTAAACATTTAAACGTTTCTGATGATATTTTGACTAATATTTTACTATATTTTAGTTGGTTAGACTTACAAAGCCGTTTATTTAGTCATTTTAGCCTATATCAAATGTGTGCCAATGTCTGCGTGTTAGTGTCGTATCCAGAACAGTGCTGTAAAAACGTGTATCCAAAACGTCACTATCTGTAATGAAATGTTATTAATAAACGTATAAGTTAGTAGAAAATATTTTACTGAGCTGTCCTAGTTTTTCCGGTTAGTCCTTTCTGAGTTTGAAGATGTGTGAAGGAGGCGACTGATAGAAATTTCTAGTTACTTCTTGCTACGGCTCACTGATTCAAGACTCATTACTTTGCTTGGGACATTTGTTTGCTTTCCTCCCATGCACTGGTTTTAAGATTTATGTTACACCATAACACACTTATTAATGTAATGGAATTTTGCAATATATTAATGTAATGGAAATGGTTAGGATTTGATTTGATCAAATTAACATTAGATTCAAACTCAATATTTTGGACAACTGAATGTTTCCATCAGTTTCATGATTGAATAATTGGATTTGATTAATTCTTTAGGTACTTGGGAGTCAAACAATGCAGTGTGCGAGTCCGACCCCTTGTGTGATCCGGCTGTCCTAGTGTCACCCCCTAAATCAGAACCACAGATCCGAAACCGTCGCCTCTCTCCTGGCTCTGGCAGCTGCGGAGGGGGAGGAGGGGGCTGTTCCTCTGGGATGGATAAACGTCAAGCCTCACCAAGTAGCCTGGAAGGTTCACTTAATGGTGTGGGCCACACCCAGACCTTCATAGCGAGCCGCGATAGAGAGCGTCGCACCCAGAATAAAGCAAGAAGCTTTCGACGAGACGGCCCGAGAGTGGGGCCACGTTCAGATGAGAGACACTCCAGAACCGGTCTGAAAGAACGATGGGTGGACAACAGCTTGTCTTTGCTTAAACCTCCACCTGCTTTCCCTGTGAAAGACAGCCCTGCCAAACTGCAGCCGGCCGTCAGCTACGCCTCCAAGGTGAAGGCAGGAGGAGGTTCTGTTGGGGCGGCAGAAGAGCCACCTGGAATTGGGGTTTTGCTGCAGAACCAGTGGGGACTGAGTTTCATCAGCGATGGCCCAGAAGCAGATGTTCCCCAGGAGAAGAGTCCGGTTGTCCATCCAGTAGCTGGAGAGGTAACTGTTAAACCCTCAGAGTCTCTGCCCAGTCAGGTCCAGAGAGGCTCTGAGAGTTCAGAGGAGCTGCTGCTTAGCTGTCGCCACTTGGAAGAAGCCTTGGAGTATCACACACAAGGTAAGACCCATACAGTTGTGGTTACACAAGGCATTGAGGTTTGTCTAATATCACTATGCTTTATCTCACTGATTCTTTTCTATTAATCCGCAGAATGGAACGCAATATTATGGCAACAAAAACAAGGTTGGTGTCTTAAATTTCATTTAGTGGTCGACCGATATATATATATATTTTTTTTGACGGCAAATGCTGACACCTTAGAGCAGGGATAATATATATGACCGTGAAGCTGAACTTTCTTGTCTGCACCAACTGTTACACAAAGAGTAAATATTTTTATGCAGTCTACAGATTGAGTTTGCAAGATTTGTTAAAGGTTTATTCGATTTTCAAAAGCTTGTTTAAATCATAATTGCATATTTGCTGAAATGGTGGGTAATTATTACATCATTTGCATCTGTTACCAACTATAGAAAAGAATGGAAGGTTAGACTTTTTGCATATAACATCTACTTTCTTTGTTTAACAGTTCTTTTATAATAATGTATTGTACAGAACTGTTAGACAGACAGTAAACCAATGAAAACTGGAGCTACTGGCTCGTTTCCACTGAGCGGGACGGTAAACCCTGATCCGGTCTTCTGGTGATAGTCTGGAATGGATCTCACAGCCTGGATCAAATTTTCATAAATCTTTATAAATATACCACAGATTTGAGCTTTGAACAAGTACATTCTAGCCTGAAAAACTGGTAACTACATTTCTTGGCACAGTAACAACAATAGTAGTATATTTCAACTGTATATTAAAAAATGGTGCTTATATTGTCATTCCCCTTGTAGCACGTGCAAGTGACTTCTGTCAACCAATCAACATTCTGCAATGAGTCTAGCTCCACCCTATAGGTGCCCTACCACTGTGCTAGGTACCACAATGGAAACGTAGCGATAAAGGGGTATGGTTCAGCATTTTTCAATTGATAACTTTTGACAGTGGCAACGGAAATAATTGCGTACCGCACTGTTCAAAGGAAATGAGCCCTAAGACGCTCTGCGTTTGTCAAAATAAAAGTACCACTTCCGACACATTAGCAAAACAGAAAACTTACCTGCCCAAGCCAGTAATTATAAATGCCAAATATTGGCTGATTTGGTTGGTTATATCGGTTTACCACTATTGTTAATATCCATGAAAGAGATCATTTTCAGATTGCCATTAACAGACTCTCTTTGTTTTTCAGACCCTAGAAAAGTTGTTTGGTACAAGAATGCCCTGGAGTCGCCCGCCTAGCACACACTAACACAGCTTCACAAACACACACATACGCGACACACCCCGCACTCAGGTTATCGTCCCTTCAACATTTCTACCGAGACACTTTGGACTTGTTCCCCTTTGAAGGTCAATGTCTTGGACTTCTCGGTTGCCTTACAACAGAGTCTGCCTCAGGCGTAGAGTCCCTCTGCATACCTCTGTCATTTTAATGGTGGAGGATTGTCTCTTTTAAGGAAAAAAAAGCGTTATCAAGCTGCAATTTTATTTCAGTGAACTGCAGTTTTACAGTTAAGAAATCCCTTTTATTCCTCCCTTGTTCCTACGTGTGTGCGAGTGGTTAAGTCAAGCACTTTCTGACCTGTAGTTGAACACGTCATCCCTTTCTCTAATGACTGAGCTTGTTTTTAGAACCAAATCCAGAATGTCTTTTTCATCAGTCTTCCCTCCCACAATAATCCCTTTCTTCCCACAAAAATTGTTCTCATGAAGTTTACAGAGGTGCAGCTGGCACGTTATGGCAGCACCTTCAAATGTCTATTGGTCTTAATGCTGTTTTTTAATATATATATTTCACCCAGATTGAATGTCGGTCATGAATCCTAATAGGAATCCGTTGCTGTGTATGACCTCAATTTTTTTTTTTTTTTTTTTTTTTGGAAACATACAAATAATTTACACTGGAAGGTGTTCAGAGATTTAATCGAACAGTGTTGCATAATAAAAATGAATAAACTTGTTAAAATATTCCATGGTCTTCTGGTTTTTGTACATTCCAGAAATGTATCTGAAATAATATAATGGATATTTAGTATTTTAGGAACCCATTTGTACTTGTAAACCGCTTGTCTGCATGGGTTGTAATAAAAAGTGATGAATCTCTGACCTATCAAGGCATGGACTCGTTGGACTGTGTTTCTGGCACCAAGACTGAAGCAGCAGATCCTTCAAGTGCTGTAAGTTGCGAAGTGGACCCACAGTTGGGGAATTTGGAGGCCAGGGCAACATCTTGAACTCTTAATCATGTTCTTCAAACCATTCCTGAACTATGTATGCAGAGTTCATTATCCTGCTGAAGGAGGCCACTTTCATCAGGGAACACCATCGTTATGAAAGGTTTTTCTTGGTCTGCAACAATTTTTTAGGTATTTGGGATGTCATATTTAAATCCAGATAAATGTCCATGGTTTCCTAGCAGAACATTGCCCAGTGCATTAAACTCCCTCCAAGGTCTTGTTGTCGTACCACAGTGCATCCTGGTGCCATCACTTCCCCAGGTAAACAGCATACACTGCCGTCCATGTGATGTAAAAGAAAACGGGACTCATCGGCCCAGGCAACGTTTTTTCTGCTGCTCTGAGGCCTAGCTCTGACCCTCGCATTCCCATTGTGGGTGCTTTTGATGGTGGACGGGGACCATCCTAGGCATTCTGATTGGTGTAAGTTTTTGATAAAATTCATCCCATAACCATCACTAAAATTTACTTTCTGTTGGCTTTGACCAGATGGGATAGCCTTAGTTGCCCTCGTGCATCAATGAGCCTTGGGTGCCCAATACTGTCACTGGTTTGTGGTTTGTCCCGCCTTAGAACAATGCTGAAACCCACAAGCCTTGCTGTTTCATAAATACGACCCAGTCGCCTTGCCATCACAATTTAACCCTTGACAAAGTCACTCGTATCTTTATTCCCATCTCTAGTATCTAACATGTTGATTGCAAGAATTGATTGTTTGCTTACCATCTAATCTACCCAGACTTTAATATCTGGCATTGTTTGGAGATGATCGACGATATTTACTTCACCTGCTATGACTAGTCACAACGTTTTGTATTAAATAAGGCGTCTTTGCTGATTCACCACCACCAGTATTTAATGATGCCATATTGCCCATTGCCCAATGATATTGATGCATGATTGTAAGTAATGTATAATGCTTTTATACAGCAAAATACATCATGCTATCAAATGATTTGAGCTGTAGGTCAATGTTTGTTTTGGTTTATTGTTGGTACCTAGTTATAAGTACATAGTATGTACAACAGAACTGTAAAATACTTTTTCTATCAATGGTGTGAAAATGAATTTTGAATGATGGGATCATGGACTTTATTGAAAAAAAGAATTACAATTTGACATTTAGTGCAAATTATATTGATAAGTAATCAGTTGCAGCAAAAACATCAGTCTCGCCATGTGACCTCTACTTCATCTGTTCTGTACCTGTGAAACACAATGGAATGCTAATGAATAATCACAGTCACGGTTTAACAAGAGAAACAACTGCTATCTTGGATCTATATTTAATCTCAGCATCCAATGGAAAAATCAGTAGCCTAATGACAAAACAGCACTGTTATCTTTTATGGGAAGCAAAAAACATGCACAAAGCAAAGCGTTTTATCAACCGAATGCCTAGCTTCAGGATGTGATGGTTATTTGTTAAGTTGTTTACCTTTGTGTAATCCAGGAGTCTGACAGCTCTGTGACGTGACCCGAGCGGAACATTTCCCAACCGGCCTGTGCAATCATTGCTCCATTGTCTATACAAAACCTGAAGGCACATTATCACATGAAGAAATTTACAACCATGACACTGACTCAGTGTAATGAGAACAAGCTATCAGGAGGTCTTTCATCAGTGATATCCCAAAAGAAGGCGATCCTTTCTCACCTTTCATCCGTGGCAAATATTCGAGCACCTCTCTCCTTACACATGACCGCCATCATCTCCTGCAGACGCATGTTACCTACAAAACAGCACACATTCAGATGCAATGCAGAGACCCAGTGCTGCAATGAGTCTAAACACATATGTAGCTCTTACAGCCGACTCCACCGACGATCAGAACCTCCTGAGAGCCGCAGTGAGCCATGGCTCTTTCTGTGATCTCCACCAGCATAGCGAACAGAGTCTCCTGTCAATCACATGCTATTATTTGTCACTTCTCATAATCATAAATTAATGTGTATCTTTTGGAAGCATGATGGGCAGAGGTTCAAATACGCACTTGTAGGGAGAAACACAAATCCTCAGGTGTGCACTGACCTGTACTCAACATTTTGTGAGCAGCGTCCTGTATATGAACAAAATTATCAAGGGAAAATAAGAACTGCAAACAGAATTTTAAGAAACAAAAGAAATGCTTCTCTCAGCCATTCATCTCACCTCTATATAAGACAAAATCCCAGAAAATGACACATCCATACCCTTCACCGTATATGGCAGCTCTATAAACTTGGTTCCCCTTAAGAAAGCATATATACATTTACATAAATCAACCAAATGCTTTTACGCAATTTGGATATTTAATGCGTGTACATGAACCATTAAAGTGCATGGAAACTTACTTCTTTGCCATCTGTTCAATGTTGTATCCAGGACTTGGATCGTTTGATATCTGTGAATACAGGTAAAATCTTATAATTACACAAACCAAATCATCAAAATATATTTTTTCAATCCTCCTACATGGTTATCAACCAAACAAACATAAGATTCTGCATATGTGTTTTGAAGTTTATTAAGCACTGACCTTGATGACCCTGGCAAAGCGGTCCAGGCAGTTTCCCACAGCAATGTCGATAGTTTCTCCAAATATTCTGTAACGTCGTTCAGAATATGCAATAACCTGAAGAGAATTGCAGTGTAATGAAAGGATATAACATTGACTTGTCTGCACTTGATATTATAGTATATGTTATACAATATAGTATATATTATACTAATTTTAAAAAATGTTTTGTTCAATGTGTAAGACTTTTCAATTCTTGCCTGAGTATTTCCTCCGCTCACATATAGTACAGTGGGGTTTTGGGCATTGGTGATCAAACGGCCCATTTCTATGTGCCCAATACAGTGGTTCACCCCTAGCAATGGCTTGCCCCACAACTGGGCGACTGTCCTGGCCACAACTGCCACTGTCACCAGAGGGGCCCCCATTCCTGGCCCTGTGCAACAGAGATATTTGATGAGCGGAGTAGTGTGGAAAAATGCACAGTATTCTACGGGTAAGTGAAACCATTCACCTTTAGTGTATGCCACACAGTCAATCTCTGTAGATTTCAGCCCAGCTTCATCAAGCGCCTCCTGGAGGACAGTGAGAATCACACTGCGATGGTGTTTGGCCGTCTCGCCAGGTAGGAACCCTGAGAAGATCATAAGAAAGCAATAATAAAATAGTACTAAGAAATCATGGTGGCACATTTTATATAAAATGACACTGTTCACTGGTGAGGTCTGATGAGCTCACCTTGGCCAGGTGGGGTGATGTACGTGCGCCTGGGGTTTGACAGAACTTCCCCATCTCTGATGATACCCACACCAATCTTATTAGCACTGCCTTCAAATCCAATCACCACTGTCATGGTGTCTTCTTTGAGAATGAAACAGGAATTATTTGATTAAATGATTCACAAAAGTGCTCTTCTTATATTGTGAATGCAATATTAAATGAACATAGCATTAAATGCTATGTGGCGCGTGCCGTTCAATAAAAGAGTCTGTCATTAATAATATTGATTAAGATACCGGGATTATCATAGGTTTGGTTAATTATACTAATGCATGTACTAAAAATAATTATATATAGAATTCTGACTTGCTTAATCTCTTAATTTCCACATCTTCTTCACACTTACCACACTCTCGTTGGCAGCAAGACCATAACAACAGTTAAAAGGACTTTCACAATATGCCTAGATGAAATTGATAGATATATTTGTGGGATAATATTTATTTAAGCAATATGAATGTATTTAAAATAAAAAAAATTTAAAACAAAAAAATCTTTCTAATATCCTGAAAGTTAATCTATGGTATTCATTTGTTTAAATGCTTGTTTTAGTCAGGCAATATCGCGGACACCTCTTAATGGGGAGCGTGAGCCTCATGCACGATGCAAAAAAGCGTCGTGCCAGTCTGTGTAGAGTAATTCATAGTCCTGCTCAGATTGAGCTCTCAGTGTAATCTCAACTAAAGATTAAAGTGTTTGGTAAGAAAGAGCTATCTTTATATAATAGAATGCAAATTTACATGTAATGAGTTTTCAGCTCGATTAATGTAAACATGTCCAACATCTGAGCGTGCGAGAAGTTGGTTCTTATTGTTTCATTCATTCAGGCCGCATTTTGTGGCCAATTTATCGACCGTTAATTCAGTTTTATAATTTATATTCGTTCGTTATTTCTGCAAGCACACGCATTTTAGTTTATGTAAGTTTTTTGATTGCTTGTGTTCGAATTAATTACGTTCTTACGGTCTTTGTTGTAGACGGTTGCATAGCTTGCAGAGCACGATGCATTGAACATTTACACATTCCATTGCGCATGTCCTCTCTTGTAGGTGTACGTGTGTGTGCCGTCAGTTTCTTTCGTGTGTGTGGTCTTAAAACAACTGTAAACATGCCCAAAAGAGCCAAGAAGAACGAGGAAGCTGTGGATGGGGAGACTGGCAATGGAACTGGTACAGTGTTTTAAAACCTATATAAGAAAAAGAGCTGGCATCCTTTACAGATTACATCAGATAACATTAACATTTCTGTCACAGCACCTGCAAAGAAAGAGAAAAAGGGGAAAGAGCCAGAGGTCCCAATTCTGTATGAAGATCCTCCAGACAAGATGACCAGTAAAGATGACCGTGCAGCCAACATGAAAATCACCTCCTGGAATGTGGATGGTCTGCGGGCATGGGTCAAAAAGAATGGCCTTGATGTAAGAGATCACATGCATTCAACATTTAAAGTGCCCCTGTAATGCTACTTTTAAGGTTCATAATTTTGTTTTTGAGTCTCCTTCAATAGATTTTCATGCATCCAAGATCAAAAAGCACCCGAACTTTTTTTCTCACGTTTTTTTATTTGATTTTTCCTCACAAGGATTCAGTCTCTAAACCCTTCACCTGACCCCACCCTTAAATCCTACCCTCACTTTGTGTGGAAAAATCAGGTAACGTGGTCATAAACACCCCTCTGTTTATGGCCTCGTCCACTGATCTGGTAACTCCTATTAGGCCCTGTCCCAAATGGCACCCTAAGTGCTTGTGGTCTTCCTACGAGTCTGCACTTTTGTGACATAACTTTCAAAGTCTGCTGTGGATCTCGCATCAGTGCTTATCGAGGGGGCATATCGACTGCAAAGGGGTTGTTCTCACACACCCTTCTGAGACCTAAAATGCAAAATGGGACACCCTACGCTACGGTATCACGGACACGCACACGCGGCAGCCATTGTACCACAAGAATGAAAGTGCATATGAAGTGTGCCATTTGGGACAGGGCGGTTACTGTCCTGCAGACACCTATATTTGGAGTGGCCCAGTCTGTTGTGATTGGTCTACTCGCTCGCTTGCTTTAGTCCTCATTTGTAAGTCGCTTTGGACAAAGGCGTCTGCTAAATGTTTCTGGCAGTTCAGAATTGGTTCTTTCGTTTGGGAGACAATAACTCCATTTATCTGCCCTTAGATCTTTGAAACTTTGCTGCGCTTTTATATTCGTAAACAGTTTTATGCCACACTACATGGTAGGCAATATCTGAAAGTGTAAAAGGGACACTTTTAAAACAATTTTTGTTTTGTGTGTTTGTTATGGTCCTGTCTCTTTATTTTGCATTTGTGTTAGTCTGTTAATATGGACTATTTTCCACTCCTTTGTTGTCTGCTTGCAGTGGGTACGTAAGGAGGACCCAGACGTGCTGTGTCTGCAGGAAACCAAGTGTGCTGAGAAAGCCCTACCTTCTGAGATCACTGAAATGCCTGAGTATCCACACAAGTATTGGGCTGGATCAGAGGATAAAGAGGGTTACAGTGGAGTGGCCATGCTCTGCAAGACTGAACCCCTCAGTGTCACCTATGGTATTGGTAAGTGTTACAAGGGATGTTATTCTTGGAAAAAAACATATATATTTTTTGTAGTATTAGGGATTGTCCATCAAAAAAATCAAAATTCTCAAAAATTGAAAGCCATTTCAAACCTGTATTTATTTATTTTCTTCTGGGTAATGTAAAAATATATTTTGAAGATACAATGGAACTCAATGGGAACTGAAACTTAACTGAAACGGTTAATAAACTGAACTGCATGCGTTTTCTTAGTTCCTTAGTTTTCTGGAAGCTTAATATCTCTTTCTGCTTGAAAATAGGTAAAGAGGAACATGATAAAGAGGGCCGAGTTATCACTGCTGAGTTTCCATCTTTCTTCCTGGTCACGGCGTATGTGCCCAATGCCAGCCGTGGTTTGGTGCGTCTGGACTACCGCAAGACCTGGGACGTGGATTTCCGGGCTTACCTTGTCAGCTTGGACCAGCGAAAGCCCCTGGTGCTGTGTGGCGATCTGAATGTGGCCCACCAAGAGATCGATCTTAAAAACCCCAAGGGTAACCGCAAGAATGCAGGCTTCACCCCCGAGGAGCGTGAGGGCTTCACTCAGCTTCTTGAGGCCGGTTTCACCGACAGTTTCCGGGAACTGTATCCGGAGCAAGCCAATGCCTACACCTTCTGGACCTACATGATGAACTCTCGAGCCAAAAACGTCGGCTGGCGTTTGGACTACTTTGTGTTGTCGGCTGCATTGCTTCCGGGTCTGTGTGACAGCAAGATCCGAAACACGGCCATGGGAAGTGACCACTGTCCTATTACCCTGTATTTGGCTGTGTAGGTGAGGTTTCTCAGGGCCACAACCAATCAGTTCCATAAAGAGAGTTAACATTTTAGTGCTTCATGCATATACACAGAAGGGTCTAGTCAGTCCTATTAGTCCTAGATTAGCATTTTCTTTCTAAATACCAAATACATGATTAAATATAGGAATATGTGTGCTGCAAACAAATGTTAAAAAAGTCATAGTTGGTTAATCAAATTGTCTTGTAGGTTTGCAGATTTGGTTCAATATGCTATTATTGCTCTCTTGAAATCAGATTGATAGATTGTTTTGACACTAAAATGTTTTGAAAAATTCCTGTTCTCTAAATGACAACACCCTGCCATATTACATACATCTCAGTGCTGTGATAATAACAAAATGTTTTGAAGCTTGTAAACTACCTTGATTTACGACGATGTATGATGTGAAATTATGTTTTTTGGATTTTGTCTTTGGTGCTATTTTAACCATTGGATTTTACAAGACTCCCAACTTAGTGAACTTAGTTGTAGTTAAATCTTACATATATCACAAAGATTTGAAATAAAGTAGTTTATATATAAAAAAGAGTAAGTCTCTGATCTTTTTTTTTTTGTTTTTTTTTGTTAAGTTGTATAATTCTAATTAAAGTCATTAACAAACATTAAAATACAACGAGCAGTAGTAAAAATTACATTAAAGTTATAAAATTTTAGTTGAATACAATACAACTTTCAACATTTATAGTGTTGTCAAATCTTATGTTAAATAATAATTGAATTAGATTAACTTGATTCTTAAGCAACGGAGGGATTTAAACTGCAGACTGCTGAATTATATCACTCATGAACGTCAATTACGTCACACGACGTTCGCCAATGGCAGGCGTTGACGTTACTTATGAATATTAATAAGAACACGTGATGGAGCAACGTTGGTATGATCAAATTAAGTATTCATGAGCTAAATCCATGGCCACGTCCTTCATAATAAAAGCCCCTCGGTTTTTCTATTTTCTAAATATGAACATATAAATCCAGAATGTTTCTGAACTCATTGTCCCAGACCGGTTTAGATGAAACCACGTTAATTGTAAAAAGCATACAAAACAATCGCGAGTCGAAAGAATGGTTTGGATGCTGGGTTTGTGAGATGGCCTGCGCAAAACTAGCATAATGTGGTTTTGCACCACCAGAGGGAGAACTCGAACTACACCGTAGACCAGACCAAAGCGGATTAGACCGGAATCTGTGTCGTTCAGTCCAGTGTTTTGAAACGAACGAAATGGTCAGGTGGAAAGCCACTCGAAATTAAAAAGTATTCCGTTTTATAGCGCATTTCTTGTAAATTATGTTACACTCCTTTTTATAATATTAATTCAAGATTTTTTAAAGTTGATTGAAGTTGTAAACAATGGAAGCCCTGTGGACAAAAATCGAAGGTGAGTAATAATTGTCTTTTTGGAGTAACGTTTGATTATAATTATTTATTTAAAAATGGCAATGCAATTAAAAAATAGGTTAATTTAAATCCAGACTATAAAGTCAAAATTGGTTCCTAATGGTGTTGTTTTTGTTTTTTTTTTTGGTTTTTTTTTTGTTTTTATCAGACCCTCTTTCATTGATTAGCTTCATGGTTCCACCCTTGAGGTTACTGTCTGCAGCCATGTGGCAGGTGACAGAACAGAGACAGGTGAAGCACTATAGGATGCTGGAGGAGTTTGTAATCATGGTGACAGAGACTGTGCCAGAGCTTCTAAATGACCATCAAAGAGCTCAGCTTATACTTGGCTTAAGAGCAAGGGTACGAAATGTCACAGTACACAAAAACATAACATTGATGATCCCCTATGTAAAAGATGAATGGCTTTTCAGTTTCTAAAGAGGACAGTGGTTTCAGTATTGTATCTGTTATTTTGCACAGCGTCTTCTGGAGCTGTGTCGTGGTCAACATCAGGTCAACCTGGAAGAAATTCAGCTGCACATAGATCGAATCCGTGCTCCTGTCAACCGTGATGAGGTCAGTGAGGTCAAATCATCTGGAAGTTGTTGATAACGTTTGTGCTAAGATTAAAATTCAAGCATATTTCTGCAGGTTGTTGATGAAGATATAGAGGAATCTGAGGCTTGCTTCTTGGACCTCATTCGGACTCTTATCAGCAACCCTGAAGAGAGGGAGCATTTCTTCAAGGTTACAAAAACATAAAAATGGTCACACAACTCACTTGGTATTTGCTCTTTTTCTTCCTGTGCAATGAATTTTTTTTTTTCAACCCATTGGAATTAACAGAACATTTTCCCAGATGAATACGGACCCAAGTTTGACAAAACCCTACAGGAACTTATGGAAGATTTCCTCCTACAGCTGGACCACATGATTTCAGTCCCAGACCTTTCAGAGGTATCAAGAAACATCAGTAAAGAGGAACACTTTACAGTGTTATTTCTCTTACCATTGGTTTGATTTTGTCCTTTAGACGGTTTCTTGGCTCAGGGCCTGTCCGTCTCTTCTGGAGGAATGCATTCATTCAGTTTCGGTCCCGAAGCAAATGAAGACTCTGCTTGAACGACACAGAGCTAATGGAAATCTTCAGGACAATGGTAGAAGTATTTACGTTAAACAGTGCCATATCTATGTGAAAGATTATATCAGATGCATTTGCATTTTGTGAATACAAGAAACAACTGTGACGGTTTCAGTCAGTCAGTTGTAAATCAAATGGCTTATGCAGTCAAAATGACAATAGAACTGTTTCACCAATGAAACCGGAATTACAAAGGGACAGTTTCATTAAGGTGACAGTAACTAAACTTTAAAAATACAATCAAAAATGCAACAAAGCACTTAATTTAAAAAAAATGATGTATTCTGCCTTACTACTTTAATTACTCTCACCAGAAGCATTTTTGTTCAGCTTTCTTACTTGTGTATCACGTCCATCCGAAACCTGGATTTGTAATTTGAGGTTTAATTTGTCTCTTTGTTGCAGCTCATAACAGCTTTACATTTTCATCGCAATCTCTCCCTCCTCTGGTTCGAGTCGTCATATCCAGCGATCACACAGAATCTGGCGACCCCTCCGAATCGGGAGCTGATTTTGATGGTCAAGACAAAGATTACTGCCACACTGATCTGGATACGCCCAGCTGCAAGTCTAAAAAGAGAAAATTCACAATAGATACAGAGGAGAGAGAAGATGAAGAGGATGACAATGATCAAAACTGGCCAATCATGGGTGCCCTATCTAGAGAAAAAAGGAACAGATATGATGACGGCTCTATTGGTGAAGAGCTGAATCAGACACACACCAAAAAAACCTCGAAAAAATCCTCTAAAAGGAAAAGAGACGACAGTGCAGAAGTGTCCAGAGAGTTTACATTTATCAATCATTTGGGGGCATACACAGGTCAGTTCATTTTAAAGAGGACCTATTATGCTTTTTTATGCTTTCAACTTTCTTTAGTGTGTAATGTTGCTGTTTGAGCATGCAAAATGTCTGAAAAGTTACAAATTCACTCCAAAGGGAGTTTTTCTCTATATCAGTGCACACTGTTACTGAACTGAAACTCAAGACTTTGTAAAAGGCCATGATAGTTCCTCTTCAAATCTTCACTTTCAATTCCACTGTTTTCATTTATAAGGGGTGCATGCTAAGGTTTCATGCAAAGTATTACACTTTAGCTTCTACCCACAGCACCTTAGCATCATGATGACTTTAGCTTGTGCCAGCACTGCTAAAAATCTAGTTTAATAATGATAATATGAGCAACTGAGCTGATTTACATGCTTTTTTGCTTTATTTACCTAGAAGAATCTTCCTACCAGACCTCTGATGCTTCAAAAGTTCCTTGGTCAGAGGAAGAAACGTTCTGCCTCATTGACATATGGGGGAAAGACAGCGTCCAGCGAAGTCTTAAAGACTGTGCCCGCAACCGACACATTTTTAACCTCATCTCTAAGAAGATGTTCGAGAGAGGGTTTACCAGAACAGCAGAGCAGTGTCACACCAGGATAAAACGCTTAAAAATGAGCTTTCGACAATGCCATGAAAACACGTGAGTTAATTCAGAAAGTGTTATTTTAGGTTTTGTTTTGTTATAGTATATTAATGTAGCTATCTTTTTACTTTTATATTTTAATTTTATTTAAGTTTTATTTATTTCTAGTAAATGATGTTAGTGCTTATACCGATAATTTCTGTTTTTTGTCAAGGCGACATTTCTAATTTCCCTTTAGTTTGTTTTTTTAACTAATTTTTATATTTTATTTTATTTCAATTAAAATAAATGTTTTTAATAGTGTTATTTAAAGATAAAAACCCTGATTTGAAGTTGACATGAAATCAAAATAGACTGTGTGTACTATCTTAATGAATGTTTTTGGTTTTATCATGAATGTTATTTAATGATTAAAAAAAATATTTTAGGGCCATCCATTTTGCAACAAATCATTTTGTGTATAGTAAAAAAAAAAATCAGTCAGATTATATATATATATATATATATACATATATACATTTTTTCAAGATGTTAAATCTTTTATCTTTCAGTAAAGAAACATTTCATAATGTTACAAAATTCTATTTAAAATAAATTGTTTTTTTTAGAACTTTTTATTCATCAAATGATCCTGAAAAAAATTGTCACTGTTTCCATAAAAATATGAAGCCACAACTGTAAGAAATGTTTCTTAAGCAACAAATGAGCATATTAAAATGTTTTTCTGAAGGATCATGTGACACAGAAGACTGGCGTAATGTTGCTGAATATTCATCTTTGCATCGCAGAAATATATTACATTTTAAAATACATTCAAATAGAAAACATTTCTTTTAAATTGTAATGGAATTTCATTGCCATTTTTACTGTATTTTTGATCAAATAAATGCAACCCTACCGATTCCAAACTTTTAAACAGTAGTGTGTATAAATCTTTGAAATGTAAGAAACCTTTAAAACTGAATTCTGTTTTTGTTTCTTTAATTATATCTGATCTGAATCTGTGCTTGTTTGTCAGTGTGAGAGGAGAAAGACCGGAATGGAAGTTCTATAATGTTCTGGAGAAAATTATCTGCCGGAAAGACTCTACAGAACAGGAAAAGAGTATCAATGATGTCACCATTCCAGAAGAATCCTCAGGACAGCAGGCAGAAGACGACACTGATTGGGATGTTCTTGGTCACGTCGGACTAGAGGGTACTAACATTTTCTGCACATAACGTATGAGCTATATTAGACTTGCTGTATTATTGACCGAAGTTTCACTTACACCCTCTCAAGGCACCAGGAATATCCCATGGACAGACCTGGAGACGCAAACCCTCATCAGGATCTGGGGAGAAGACAAAACCCAGCGGGAGCTGCGAGGAGTTCTCCAGAACGGACACATCTTTGCCATGATCTCCAAAAAGATGGCCGCTCGCGGTTACGTCCGAACAGCAGAGCAATGTCAAAGTAGAGTGAAAAGACTGAAGCTGTGCTTCAAACAGTCTCACGAGAGTAAACAGTGAGTGCTTCAGCATCTTCGACATCATTGTTAAAGAGATAGTTCACCCCAAAATTAAAATCCTATCATTAATTACTTACCCTCATGTCGTTCCAAAATTTAATCTGTTCATCATATAAAGCGATTGAGTCTCATCAGAAAATTTAGACTAAACCGCTCAATTCATATGGATTAGTTTTACTATCTCTTTATGAAGTGTCAAAGTGTCAGTGGCTTAGCTGTCAATGGATGGATTGAGATTTAATCAAAATGAAATCTTTATTTTTGGGTGAACTAACCTTTTAACCAGTTTCTGATTTCTGAATTTCTGGAAAAGCAAAACCCAGCTGACAAGAGAATCTAGTAGTGAATATAATTTAATTTACAGAGCACTGTTGTATTATTTTAAATAACTGAAAGTGCTATTCTTTAATTCTTTTTGCAGCACTGAGGGAAAAGAGCACGTTGAATTTAAATTCTATAAACAGATGGAGAGAATTATGGCTAATGAAGAGTCATGCTCATCACAGATCAAAGAGGAGGGGACTACGGACATCGAATACCAGGTGTACAAATACCAGGAAATAGGTATCTGTTCGGTCATGCTACTCTCCTGTAGATTATTGCTTTGTAATACACTACTGTTTGTGTGCTGTTAATGTTTGAGGTCAGTTAGAATGATATAATGATATAATTGTCAAAAAAATCTCTAATACATGTGTTTCATGTCCTCCAATGATTAACCTACACAGAAACCACAATGAACTGCATGGATGATAGAAAGAAGGTCGCCTGGTCCGATGCAGAGACGCTGATTCTCCTACAGTTATGGGGTAATGAACAGGTCCAGCAGAACCTTCAGCGTTGCCCTCACAACGGCCCCATCTACTCAGAGATCTCTGAGAAGCTGAACGCTTACGGATACCTGCGCTCCGCTGAGCAGTGCCATACCAGAATCAAACGACTCAAAATCTGCTACAGGCAGTGCAAGGACAGCATCAGGTCAGTGGCCGACAGCATGTATGTTATGCAGCACCAAATAAGAGAGCAATCACATTAGCACATCATTTGTGAATATAGCCTGAGCACTAAATATCATTTTTAATGTAATGTGCATATCATTTCAGTGTTTTTTTTTTTTATTCCTTTCTGTGCAGTTCACCTGAATCTGAACGTGTAGAATTTAAATTCTATGACCTGATGGAAGACATTTTTCAAAAGAAAGCTTCATCCAAAGTGTCAGAAGATAATGAACCCAACAATGACTTGAAATCAGGTAATTTTAGTAAATGGGTCCTGTTATGTTTTTGTACATGTTCAACTTTCTTTAGTGTGTAATGTTGCTGTTTGAGCATGAAAACGGTCTGGAAAGTTGCAAAGGGAGTTCTTCTCTGGATCAGTGGATCTGGATTATTTTGTATAATACCTAATACCCATTTCTAATAATCCAGTTGAAAATAACATGTTTCGTTCTGTCAGACACCTGCAGCAGGGTGGACCAGACAGCATCCTGGTCAGACTCTGAAACTGTGGCTCTATTAGACATTTGGGCAGAAGATGAGGTGCAGGAAGCCCTGAGAGGATCTGTCCATAATGGCCATGTGTTTGCTGATATAGCAGAGAAACTGAACAGTCGGGGATTCTTCAAAACACCAGAGCAATGCAGATGGAAGATCAAGAACCTGACAAAGAATTTCCGACAATGTTACGAAAGGAAAAAGTGAGTTTGGCTTTATTTTTGCTTGTTGACTTTGAAAATAAAATGGATGGAAAGTTAAAGTGTTTTATTTTTATCTGAGGTTTAATAATGTCCTCCATATTGTTCTCATCTAGATGTGGCATAGAGAATATAGATTGTAAATACTATGATAAACTGGAGCAGGTTCTTGGTGATGAGGCCTTTTCCATGGATGTCTTTGATGAACATGATCAGGATGCAGGTTTGTGACTTTGAAGGTTATGTGTTTGTTCGTTCACTCATTCACTCATGAATTATGAATTCTGGTTTAAATTTAGGAGATTTAACTTTCTTTCTTTTTTTTTTTTTTTTTTACTTTGGATGTATTTAAACCAATTGTAGGAGACTCCAAAATAAAATAAGTAACCTTTAAAATAGTGCAATACAGCATTTACGCTATGAATAGAATGAGTGTTTTGGGTTTTTTTTTCCATTACTGTAATGGGAATTGTGCTTAACTATCTTGACAATACTGTCACAATGAATAAAATTGAATTGGCTTAATTTTCTTTAAGCAAAATGCATTATTTCTTATTTCTCTCTTTTAACTTTAAACCTTTCATCCACTTGTTCTTCCTCAGAATACCAGCAGGCAGCCATGCTAGCCGTATCTGAATCGGGCAGGAAGATGACCTGGTCCGACCGGGAGACGCAGGCCCTGCTGGATATCTGGGGTGATGCCCGTGTGCAGCACAGCCTCATGTCCTGCCCGAAAAACAGGCACATATACAGATATATTTCAAAGAGAATGATGGCACTGGGTTTCAACAGAACGGGTGTCCAATGCCACTCGCGTGTAAAAAGACTCAAGTCCCAGTTTTACTACGATGGGTGAGTGAGTTGAAGTCTGTGACGACTAGTTCTTAAAGGTTATGTTCAGAATTGAATAGTTGTGTACTGTTTACTGCACAGCATAAATGCATAGTGTGTGCTATTCTGAACATAGAGGTATACTATTTTCAATACCATTTCTACTTTTTAATTTGTTTTTTTAGCAGGGAGGAGTGTAAATTCTATGATCAACTGGAGCAGATTATTTTAAAGGACAGAACATCTGATGACCAGGACGTCAGTGATCTGGAATCCATAACCGATTCTGATTCAGGTTTCAGTCTGAAAATTGATCAATTCTTTTCTTTTTTTTTTTATCTAATAAATCTAAATATACGTCACATCACGTCATAATCCAGATACATTTGAAATCTTTTAGTTTCAAAAAGTTTCTTGTTCAAACTGAAATGTTGGAAAAAGCTTAAAGGGGCTGACTGTATGTCAGAATTTGGATGTATTAAATTATTATATTTTTATTGCTAATGTGTGAACGGCTTGTGATGAAACAAAAAATGAGACCTTCCTAGGATGTCTAAATTTTATGTCATCTTTACAAGAATGTAATATGAAGATTGTGCAAATTAACTCTTTCCCCACCAGCATTTTTTTTGTTGCACATACTAGTATAGACGTGTGTGTCATCGTACTTCCATTTACAGTCAACACTACAACACAGAAAAGGAAATGCATCCACTTTGGAGAGCATGATTTCAGTGTGGATGGAAGGTATAAGATGCGTTTTCAAATGTATCCGGATTAGTGTAGATGTACCCATAGTTTCCCTTTCTAACTGGGATCTCTTCATGACACCAAAAAGTTTAAATATAATTTGTGTAGATATGTAGGTGATGCATCTGGCCCATTGAAATGTGTTTGCGTGTCTAGACTCTTTAGCTCTCTCCAAACCTCCGACTGTGGACGGGCCGAAGCTGGCATGGGGTGACAGTGAGACACACACACTTATATCCATCTGGGGGAGCGACCCTATCCAGGAGAGGCTGAAAGGTTGCGTCAAACGCAAACCTGTTTTCCAGCAAATCGCACTGGTCATGGCTGAGAAGGGCTACAGCAGGACAGATGAACAGTGTCGCTCCAGGATTAAAAGACTGAAGGCCAGTTACCGCCAGTGTCTTGATAATTACAGGTAGATAAAACAACTTTGACCTCAAAAATGGAATATTGAAATATACTAATTAAATGTAAGAATTATATGTGTATATATATATTTTTTTTTTCCTTTTCTCAACCCATAGAAATGAAGGGGAGCAGGTGGAGTGGAAGTTCTTCAAGCAGCTAAATAAAATATTCGAGAAGTACCCTCTAGATGAGACTGAAACCACCACGGCTAAGGAGCCAGAGACGGTTGGGAGAAAAAACCCTAGCAGATCTGCAAAAGCACAGAGATCAAGGTGATTCTGAACTGCAAATATGTTGTCCTGATTTGATCCAAAAGAAACCGCAAAAATAATGTGTGCAGAGGCATCAAACTACAAATGGAGAATGAGGAGAACGTATTTTAACATTGAAAATGTACATACTTCACATTTATTATGTCAAGTGTATATGGGGGAAAAAAAATTCATCAGGAAATATACACTACCGTTTAAAAGGTTTGGGTAAAGAAATTAAGTCTTCTTATTCAACAGTGACACATTAATCAAAAATGACAGTATAGACAAGGACTTCTATTTAAAACAAATGCTGTTCTTTTGAATTTTCTACTCAAAGAATCCTGAAAATAAATTATCCCAGTTTACAGAAAACTAGCAGCACAACCGTTTTCAAGATTGATGATAATCAGCATATCAGAATGATTTCTAGAGAATCATGTGACACTGAAAGTTTGCATCACATGAATTAATTAGCCTACATTGAAAGATGCTTTCAAATAATAGAAAATAGGTATTTTACATTTTAATGTAGGAAATTTTTATTTCACAATATTAGTTTTTAGAATATTTTTCATGAAAGAAAATGCATACTCATTTCAGACTTATTTTAAAACTTTGAACGGTAGTGTATGTTTGAGAACTCATTTTACTTGTTGATCAACCATATTTTGTTACTGCACTCTCTCTGTCTGACTATGTTACACTTGTGCCCCTGAATTACCTCTGGAGAGAGACACTCAAATTCTCCTGTATATCTAAGCTTAGGAATATAGATCAGATCTGATGGAGGTATTTTCTTTCATGTGGACTGTGGAGTATGGATTAAGGACAAACACAAACCTTTAATTGTCTGAAATCCAAGCAACATAAATGCAGGACCTTAGATGTTCGGGTTCTCTCTGAACTCTGCATTCGTATATGTACATCTGAAAGACATTTGCCTAATGGTGCTATTGTCATGTTTTCACAGGGTAAAATCTAACACTGAAATGTAATTAGTCTCAGCTGCTTGGCAGCTTCAATAGTGTGGGGATGGGATGGCAGTTTTGGTTTTGCATAGCATGAAGCGAACTGCATCCTGAAGCCACAGTTCTATTACTGAATAATTAACAGAAAGTAGCAACAAGAATTAGAAAAACCAAGTCTGAATTTGTAACAAATAGCCCTTGTCTGAAGTATTTTAGAACATAATGGAATAACTGGATGGAATTCTTCCTAGTGCAGACTAATTTCTCATCTGAATGCATAATCTTTCCAAAAAAAGAAACTTCCAGAAAATGGATTTGTATTGTATATTTGTAACATAAAAAGAAACAAATTTGTGCTACATGAAAAAAAAACACTGAAAAAAATTTCCGTTTTGTACAAAAGCATCTGCTTTTAAATTACATTTGCGAGATTTAAAAAATTTGATATATATATATAAACAAATGTAAGTTAGTGTTACACAGGATGATGCCAAAGGTCATTGCCTAAATTTAATCTCCATATAAGTGTGTACCCAATGTGTATTGGCATTAGCCAAATTAATGGGTTAAATTAAAATTGTCATAATTTACTCACCCTCATGTCGTTCCAAACCTGTCAGATTTTCACTCATCATCAAAACAATAATGAAGATATTTTATTCCAATCTGAGAGATTTCTGTCCTTCCATTGACAGCTACACAACTACCCCTTTGACGGTCAAAAAAATCACCAGTAAGTAAATAAAAGCCTTAATTAAATCTGTTCACTGAATACTCATGAATACTCTGGAGTCATATGGATTAGTTTTACGATCTCTTTATGAACTTTTTGAAGCGTTAAAATTGTAGCTACATGGAATGTCAATGGAGGGACAGAAATAACTGATTTAATAAAAATATCTTTGTCTTTTGAAGATGAACGACAGGTTATCTTTTTTAAGTTGAACTAACCTTTAAGATCCGAGTCAGTAAAGTAAGTTTGTGAACAAATACACATTGCATTGCTCAGCGATCGTGAAAGAGTGGACAGTGTTATTGTTACAGCTCTTCCAGACAATATTCTGGAGTGAGTTTATCCAATATGCTTCTAAATTGTCCAAGGTGGACAACCATTTGGAATTGTTGTTTTTTTGTTGTTTTGAGTTTTAAATCTCAAATTGATTCTGTTCTTAGGCGTTTTACTGTGCAATAAACAGATTATTTATTTGTTTGTTTGTTGAAATGACTTGACCAGCATGATTAAGACATCACAATGGCTATGACAACAAGCCTTCTTGATTGAAGAACTCAACTGTTAACTTAAATTTATCCAACTATGTAAAGTACGAATTTATAAAGTATCTCCATGTGCAGTTTCAAATATGGGTTGCATAAACAAACAAGCATGGTTTGAAAAACAAAACATTACCTTTTTAAAGTAATTATCATCTGATATGAAATTATCTAGTCATTTTAAATCTGCAGATTCGCATGTTCAGTCAAGGGCTTTTGGGTTGTAGTTTTACCCGACCACGGGTTTGGTCGTAGTTTCTTCTGCGATTGCTTCGCTCGCTCAAGTGAATTCTCTCATGCTTCTTCAGAGGCCCAGCGAACTTAAAGCTCCTCCCGCAATGGGAGCACTGCCACGGCCGCTCACCTGTGTGGCTGAGCATGTGGTTCTTCAGGTGAGACGAGTGCTTGTAAGTCTTTCCACATCTTTCACAGGTGAACGGCCGCTCGCCCGTGTGCACGCGTTCATGTCTCTTCATGTTCCCTATCTGAGAGAAGGCTTTTCCACAAATCTTGCATCGGAACGGGCGTTCCCCCGTGTGTATGCGCAGGTGGCACCTAAGCATCTCAGGTCCCGCAAACGTCTTGTGACAAAGGGTGCACGGGATCTTGACCCGGGGTCTCTCGTGGTTGCGCTGGTGCTTCTTCAAGTCGAACATGTAGACAAAGGACTTGCCGCAGATTGAACACAAGTACTGGCGCTCTCCTGCATGATAACCTTTGTGTCTTCGGAGGAGGCTGGCATAGATGAAACTCTTCCCGCACTGGTTACACTGGTACGAGCGCTCCATGGAATGGTAACGGACGTGGATGGACAGCTTAAATGCAGTCGGGAAGCTCTTTTCGCAGTGAGGACACTGGTGCAGGTTTTCTGAGGTGTGGCATTCACGGTGAATCTTCAAGTATGAGCCCTGGGAGAAGCTCTTTCCACAGATGGTACACTTGTATGGTTTTTCGCCAGTGTGTACACGGATGTGCTTGATGAGGTCCGCCTTTTTGCGGAAGGTCTTGACGCACTGCAAGCATTTGAAAGGTCTGGCGAGTGAGTGTGTTTTGATGTGATTCGTCAGGAAGCTGAGGCACCTGAAACTTTTGCCACAGTCTGAACACTGGAACGGCCGCTCGCCAGTGTGTGTGCGCATGTGATTCCTCAGCAAGCACTCAAAACGGAACTCTTTGTGACACTCGGGACATGTGTGTCTTTTCTCTTCCTGCGTTGTATTGGACTCAGAAGAAGCGGCCGCTGCCTTTTTGGAAAGAGCGGCTCGAGGTGGACTGCTCTTTCTGTGAATGATGGACTTTACAGATGGTGGTCTTTCAATGACAGGAACGTAGATCGTCTCCTCCCTCACAATCTCAACAGGAGTTGGAGGCAAAACTGGTAGTGAGGCACCCTTTCCAGTTAACTCTGAGATCCACTGCTCTAAGCTGACTTGCCTCACGCCAGACGTTTCCACCATCTCGGATTGTTCTAGGAACTGCAGTTGAGTCGTCTCCTCTCCCTCGTTCTCAAACTCTGACACCACCACAGCAGAGCCATCGGCGGTGAGGTAGATCTGCTGGACTTCACAGATGCCTGAGTCTTTCTCTTCACAAAGTGCCTCTTCTTGTTGGAAACCATCCTCTGCTTCTTCAGTGTCAGCTATCGCTGTAAACTCCTCGCTTTCAACTAAAGGCTCAGCTTCTTCTGTGTAACTCTGAGATGGGCTCATTATGGCAATGGCTGCATGATCAGATTCTGATTGGTTCTCTGTGGCTTCTGATTCAATGATAATTGTCTCTTGAGCAATGGAAGTGGGGGGTTCCTCGCCTTCAATGGTAAGGGCAGACGAGACGAGAGTTTCTTGTACGATTGGATGAGGCAAACAAACTACTTCAGCTGTAGAAGGGATGGACACTGTATAGACCAAAAGAAAAAAGAACTCCTTGTAAAAGCATTTTAATATTTTCTAATAATACCATTAAAACGAATACAACTTTGTGTTTGTGAATATATCTCACAAAAACATTTTCAGGTCACAATTTAAGTTAAAGTTGCAGTAAGCAATGTTTAAGAAATGCTGTTGAAAGTGGATCGGACCGAGCACCACAACACACTTGCCAATCAGCAGTAGGGGGTGAATACACTCGCGATGGGGGAGAAGAGGGAGTAAGAGGGAGATTTGAAGAAAGACTGTAAAAAGAGAGATGGCTGAGAGACATTAAAACGAAAAAATTCAGAGGAATATATCTGGAAAAGGACAGGTCATGCTATATCACCCAAATTTATTCTAGAAAAGCTTTTCAGAGCTGGAGAGACCGGGAAGAACTGAAACGGACGCCACGGTTGCATTTTTTTCTACTCCATTTGTGAGTAACATTGGTTTAACAGTGTTTCTCAGAAATTGCTTACTGCCCCTTTAAAATAATAAAGTTATATATTAATTAAATATCTCAGTGTTTAATTCAATTATTCAATACATGCCAAAGGTCATGTACAGTAGCAAAAGTAAAGCTTACTTTCAGTGATAACTCCCGGAGATTGCTCATTGTTTTTTGCATGCAATCTTCTGGTTTTGAAGTGCTGGAGCACATCTTTAATCTCCACTGGATCTGAGAGTGGCTGCACAATCTCCTCCATCATCGAGAGGCCACCACAAAGCCGTGAGGCTGTCTGAGAGAGTCATCAGATTTCAGATCAGAGTAATCTTGAACTTAAAAAAAAAATGTAAGCATGGCTGACAATGAACAAAATGTTTTACATTCTATGTATAATTTTAATTATGCAATCTTTGAATGATGACGGACCTCTTTAAGGTTGGGTACTGGCAGCAGATCCTCTACTCGAGACAGGAACTCCCATGCAAGGCTCTGTAATACGGCATCATATCCTGAACCATATTCTACAGGGAAGACATGCTGAAGACAGAGAAACAGAGGTGAAATATGGAAAAACTATTTTCATGCATGATTTATTTCACAGAAATAATTTGAAAAATGTATTATTGGAAAGCAAAAAAACCTGGATGAAATTCTCTTTCTTTTCTGTGTCCTCTAAAATGCCGTGGATCATTCTAATGAATTTGTTATTGATGATTTGACTTTCCACATCTTTCCACTGCATCAAAGACAAACAAGACACTTTTTTGCAACAACTTGTTGAAATAGAATTTCTGTGTATGGTTAGTGCAATTACAAATAAAAAAACCCTCTTACTTTATGGGTGAGATTTCTAAGAGAATCAAGATGTGCCTGAATGACCCACAGATCTGGCAATTTATCTTTCAAGCAAAGCTCCAAGATCACCTAAAAGAGAAAAATCTGTGTTACATGTGTGCGTGTGTGTATATATATATATATATAAATATATATATAGAGAGAGATTTTGCTCAAAAAAGATTGACCTTTTTACGCAGGTGAAAGATAAGTTTATTAACCAGACTTCGACTCATGATGTCTGGAACGGTCTCTGTCACCAGCATTACAAATTGCTCCAGCTTCCCGTATTGTGTCACATTACGACGCTGGATAACCTGCCATAGAAACGCTGACATCAGCCGAAGAGGTGGCACAACCAGACGCAGGGCAGAGAGAGGGAGAGCTTGAGGGGAAAAAGAGGAGAATAAAGTTGGTGCATTTAATTGTAAGGTGAGGTATATTATCAGTAGATAATATAAAGAGATCTTGTAAAATTTCTTAAATCTTAAAAGTTGTGTTGCACTAAATTGAAATTCGAATGTATAAGTCGTATGTTTCAAAGAATTATTGTTCTTAGGAAGAAGTAAACTTAAAACTTTACATGCACAATGAAAACTTTAAATTTACTAATTAAACTTAACTAAAACAACTTCAAGTTTATTTTAATGACTACATTCAACTTGTAATTAATAATATAAATAGAACTATAATCAGAAAATGTATTTTAACTGTCATTATTCATAATTAACACTATTTATAACAACTTCTCAACAATAATAGAGTTGCAGTAATTGCAAATGAAAAAACAAATAAGAACTTTCATTTACCAGGCCCTTCTTTAAAAATATAAACAAGTGTGTTTTTAGTTGTGGTGTGTGAGTGAGTGAGTAACTTTAATAGGATTGGTTGTGCTAGCTTCACTCTCTTAGCATTTAGCTCACAAGCTAAAAAATACTCACCCTCCTCGCGACTCTCTACGTTAAGGATCTCCATTATTTAAGGTTAGAATAAATCTATATTTGTATTTTAATCAAAATCAACACTTTATGTTATTGAATCAAACCATAATAGCTGCTAAACCCAACGGCGAATGCTTGTCGTGAAGTTGACCGAAGCAACGAACAACAACGCGCGAGCGGGATACCGGAAGTAGCCGGAAGTTAGTCTTTATTCCGCGTGTTTTTTATGTTTGGACCTCAATGGTTTGGACAGGCACGACACCGCATCAGGTCTGGCGGATACAGTGTCCTACGTTGCCACCTGTTTTAAAAAAGTTGTCCATTTATATCTTTGCAAGTGATTAAATTATACAATGCAAAACAGATGTTACGTAAAGCCCAGCTTTGTCCAACATGGAATTAACTCAAGTGTAAGTACCATCAAACAGTGTAACAGCAAATGCACACAAAAAAAATTTAAGACAAGAGCACATTGGGTGCATATTTCAGATTTACTGATAAAATAACTTGATAACTTAAATCAATAACTTGATTTCAAAGGAGTTGTAAGATACAGTACCTGCAGTTATAATGAAAACATTTATTAGAATTGGTAAAGAGTCTCCAATCAACCACAATATTATCTTCTCTCACCTGTTCTGTTCCCTCACTTTTTGGAGAGCCCATCATTGCCTTTTACTGACAGTTGTCTTTTTTGAGAAGAACCTCTATTCATAAACACATTAATTTGAGGAATAAACATAAATTCCTCCTGTGGAATGATGTTAATGGCGAAGAAGGATGGTGCACTAGAAAAGGGGAGTCACGTTTCTTAAGCTTTTTCAAACGTCTGTTGAGCGAGATACTGCTCTATTAATATAGCCTATTTATAAATTTGAATTATCATCACCATTAAATGGGGATACTGAGTGTTTCCTCAGTGTGAATCTTTATGTGTGCATGCAAAAGGTCAAAGTCAGGCCGGTGTGTGACCAAGTGTGAAGGATAAACAAAAATATCAACTGTTGATTCATTTTAAAATCTTTTTGTTTACATATATATTATTGAACTGTTAATTGGGTAAGGTAAGTTGTTTGTCTAAACTAAATATCTTACAAAATTGTTCTTAATTTTTTTTAGAAATTTATTATTATTATTTTTTTTTTTTTATTGAATGGATCATGTAATTTTGCTGTAAGCTGTCAAAAGAGAGAATTGCTTGTTGCTTGAGGATGTTACATACCTGAGTAGTGAGGCCTGTTTATTTTGTATTTTGCAGTTTTACATGGTTTGAATGAACTGGAGTACATGGACCACATCAGTAGAAAAAAGTAAAGGTATGCAAATCTTCCCTCTTATGCTTTTGCTTAAATGCTTCAAATATGTTATTTAGACAAATATATAAATAACGCCTATCAATCAATATATACTTAAAATAAAACAAATGGTATTAATTGTAATTAAATTAAACTCTATTACATTTTATGCATTACATGTATAATTATGTAAAATGAATTATGTATTATAAATTATTTTTTTGCGAGCAGATAGTGAGGGAAAAGCAGCCTACAAGTCAGCATACAAGGGAACACTTTCAAAGCTGTTTATTTATTTATTTTTTTATCCCAGAGAATGTGACAATCAATATATAAAATATGTCCTTGAATATACACAAACACACATACCATAGCATGAATGAGTAGTGCTGAATATTTATAAGATTTAATCTAAAACTAATCAATATCAGTGTTGTAAAGACATTGGATTAAGGCCACACATCAATCAGAATAGACATTTATGATCCTGAGCGAGGCTCCTGCACCCGCAGAAGGAGATCAGGGTGGCGTGGGTTAACAGCATCATAGCCATATAATCACCAAACCTCCCTCCCCCCACATATTGTGAGACGCAGTACAGGCAGACGGCCACTGCAGCACCAAGAGAATGTAAGAAATGTCGCAAATTAACATCGAAATACTGCAGAGAGAGGGCGGAAAAGCTGCAGACGAAGATAAGTGTGCCACGCGTTCATCTAAAGACGATTTATGGTGAAATGAGGGGGTGAATAGGCGCTGATGGGTTGATGACCAGCCATAAAGCATAGGAGAGAGCAATGAGGAAGGATCTATTCAAGTGAGGAGAAACAAAGGGAGGAGTAAAAGAGAGAGAGTGAAATGGTGGTAGATAAAGACGGCGCCATGAGCCCTGCACCGCCTTACGACTCGCTGCCAGCTCGGGCAAGTCCCTGCCGTACAAAGGAGTGGGAGCGAGAGTTGCACGCTGCTCAAAGACCTTCTCCTCTACGACTGGCTCCATCCTCTGTTTCCCGTCGGCCTTCAGCACTGCCTGGCTATCTGCTCTCACCCTCCCAAGATTACGCTGACCAGCAGCAACGTCTTTCGTTATCGCTGTGCTCAGAGGCCTCGCTGGCGCCCCCTGTGCCTGCAGTTGGAGCTGCCCCACCGTGCTGCCGGGTGGTGGGAGTCATGCCCTTGCTGCGCCTTGCGCTCCTGGTTTTCAGCTTCCTTTTTTGGGCAGCAGGCCTTGCGATCTTCACCCTGGGCATATGGGCGCAGGCTTCGTTATCCGACTACATGCTACTATCGGCGAACCGCTACCCTAACGCGCCCATCATCTTGTTAGGCACAGGTGCTTCGGTGACCGCCTGGGGTTTTTTAGGATGCTTGGGAGTGGCTGCCAACCTTCCTTACCTTCTGCGGGTCTATGGCTTCTTCCAGTTGGTCACACTCATAGGTGGACTTGCGGCAGGTCTCTCAGGGCTCTTCTACAGGGAGGACATCGCTGAAGGTTTCCGTAGCGGACTTCAGAAAGCTGTATTGGACTATGGAGAAGATGAGGGCCGCGCAGATGCGCTTGACAGCCTTCAGAGGGCGCTGGAGTGCTGTGGCGCTGAGGGTTGGCGTGATTGGCTAATGTCCGATTGGGCTATCCAAGATGCTGTGTTCTTAACAGGAAGTTTGGGGAATGATTCCTCCGCTGTGTCTTTACCAGACAGTTGCTGCATAAAACGCAAAGGCTGCCGTAACAGACCGTTGCCAGAGAATGGAGGCAGGAACATCGAGCTAGCAGGGATTCATACTCACGGTTGTTTCCGCAAAGTCTTCAGCTTGGTAAATGACAACGTCTTTCACATTGCAGCAACAGTCCTGGGCCTTGCTTTCATACAGGTGGCAGGTATAGCCCTTGCATGTTTGCTTGCCAATCATCTTTTGCCCAGACCGCAAAGACAAGCCCGTTGAAATAAAAAGCATTGTGAATTCCCTTTGCCTGAGCTTTTGGATTACTTGCTGTAGTGTCTCGAGTTTAGATCAGTTTATAAGGTAGAAACCAGTCAATGTTTTATGGAAAAATGAAAAAAAAAAAAAAATCCAAAATATTGCAAATGTTTAGGTAGAGCGTCATTTAATTATTTGCATTCTTTGATTGCATGACTCTAAATGTTTGCGATCTTGTCTAGTACTTATGCAAAGTAAAACAAAGTCAAGAGTTTTATGATATAATTGTTGAATTGTATCTCTTTGATGTTTGTAGTCATTCAGTTTTATTCGATTATTGATTAATGTATTAAAAAGTTAGAAATGGTCTATATGCCTTGTTTAATATGTATTCTGTAAATTGTTTTTCTATTAACCCAGTAGAAATGTTACACTTGTAGACTCCATGGGGTTTCATTCATTAAGGTTTCTAAACTCTTTTCCTATTGAATGCTTCACCGGCAGATACTTGTAATTTTACATTGATTCTATAAATATTGTCTCTTAAATGAAAAAACTAAACAAAAATATGACTGCTTTCTAAAAAATGAATGTATAATAACAACATAGAATTCATAATTGTGAATTGTTGCTTGCAACCCATTTCATTTAATATTCTGAAATGAAAAATATGCATGGCAGAATGTGTTTTTTAATTTATTGGAACTGATTGGATCCTAAAAAAAATGTGCATTACGTTTAATGGAACCAGATGGAATGTAAGTTTAAGAAGCACCAAATAAAAAATAAATGAAAATAATATGAGAAAATAAAAATAACATATTTCAACTCAGCTGACCTTGAATGTGTCTGTCATGGAAAAAAAAAAGTTAAGCAACTGCAACTATTTACTTTGTTGACTTGTTCCACTTTTGAAACCATGTATGCACACTGCACAGCTTCATCTGTGGTACATTTTATAGTTTATGTTTTGATTCCCCAAAGGTAGCTGACCGAACCACAATCTGCCATTTCAAACGCTTATTTATGAGGGTCTGTATTTCTTTATCACACCCCTGGCTGCTGCAATTACAAGCAAGTGATAAATCATTGGAATCTGGGTCAGGCACTCTCTCTTTAATGACCTGCCACATTGTGGATTGAAAGCCACCTTAACCTGTGAACAACTATTAGATCCTTCAGACGACTAATTGTAAAACGTATTAAGCTACAGTAGAGATACTGCAGACGTTAATAGGAAAAAAAATATTTGAGATAGATGAACATAGGATGGATTTTGTTGTGGTTTTTAAGCTATATGTGTGTGTGTGCTTGTTGCTGTCATCTACTGTCTGCTCATGGTACTACTGTTGGCTCTTTGTATCTACCTTTGTTTGGATCTCAAAGATGAAGAAGCTAGGAATAAATGGAACTTTGAAAACTCAGGCAGATGGAAAAGTCTTCAAAAAGACCAAATGATTTGCACCCTGACATTATGGTAAGACTTTAGCACAACTTTAAAACTGATTCATTTTAAATTTAATATTTTCCACAATAAAAAAATACAGTGATGTTGGTTTTTCAGGTCAGGTATGCAGAGAAGAAAACAAGGATAATCTAATAGGTTCTAAGAAAGTATCTTTGTGTCATCATATCTTAACTTGCTAACCAATATTTACATGTAATTTATACAGTAATCTTGATATATCCAATATTGTGCATATATGAACTTGTCTAGACTTTTATAATTGCACAAAGGCAATTAGTCTAGTTTTCAATTTGATTGAATTCCATTCTATTTTATTTAAAACATGAATCAGATTCAGACCATTATAGAGTTAGTAACTAAATAACTTGTCTTTGTTATCAGGGTGATAATTTCCTAGTGAGTGTCCATGTTGTGACTGTTACCATTGTATTCTAGGTATGGTATCATGTTACCATATTTAGCTACTTATTCCAGTTGTATTGTTGTTGAAACAAGAATGAGTCTTTCCACCCATGTCATGATAGCACTGTTGAGAAGCATCAAGGCTTGATGAGGTGGTGCCTCATTTGTCATAAATCACACACCAAAGTATTTTCAGGATACTTAGGCTATATATTCAGACTGTAGGCAAATCAGATTTTTTCAAACTCAGATATTTTCAGGCAGACTGTCTGAACTATTAATTGCTAGTGATCGAATTAGATTTGTGTGTCCAAACATAACCAACCTATCTGCATGGGTTGCTTTGGAAATGACATAGGCATACCCATGTATGTGACAAGGCTTTCAAAACAGATGCAGGAAAAATGGTGCATCATCTTGGCCCTGTCGAGTTGTTGTGCAGAACTCATCCGTCACCATCACACAGAAAAATGCTGAAATCTTTTGGACTCACCACTGTATGAATATTTTTGGAATTTCTGTCACAGGTTTTGATGTTATAATTGTGTCGCGGAGTGAATTCTAATTTGAGTAGTTTTTTTGCTGTCCGGACATTAAAAACCCCATCTGGATATGCCCAAAAATCCGATTTTCCCCCCCGATTATCTTAACATGGCCTTAGTTGTTTTGTTAACCATTTGCAATGGGTAATGACCTGAGACAGACATGCACATGCATTTAGCAGGAAAAGCAATATTCCTATAAAAAAAAAAAACAACAGGGTGCAACATGCACAATTACAGAAACTAGACTTTTATCTGAGACATGGCTTCAGAAGACATGTAATAAAGCACACAAGACTTATTATGATGCTGCTTTGTTGTCTATTTTGGAGCTTGGCAGACAGTCCTAAAGAATGACGGATTATATCTGAAAGGTAAATATTCAAAAGCTTCACAGTTTGCATCATGTTAAATGGGGCCTTACAGAGAAATTAGGGAGGAACTACTTATTTAAACAACCAAACAAAATGCAAACTACGAACTGCCTTTTGTGTAGTGCTAAGCAAGTGTTATCTGTTTGCAAGAGCATACGTTTGAACAGAATCATAATTTCTGCAAACACCAAATAATGCAGACAAGTTGAAAGGGATAATATCTGAGAGACAGAGTGATTGCAACCAACTTTTTTTTTAATACCATGGGCCGGGACTCATGAAATGTAAATGAATGTGATCAACACCTCGTAGTTTATTTTGTTTAACCTGTTTGCATCCTTACGTCACTGCTTCCTCAAGTGCAAATTACTAACCGGAGTATATGCTGTACATATATAGCCTATGTAAAATACACTAAAAAGGTGTGATTGGGTCGTCTGAAGGGAGGAGACGTAAGGTTGTACCTCTAAATAAAAACACTATATAAATTGCCAGCATGCAAACTTATGTTTCAGACAGAGAAAGAATACAGAAGCATACATGGGACACTTCAAAAGGTTTAAACCGTTAGACATATTTTGAACTTTCTGACTTTATTCTGCTGCTTCTATTTCTGTGCTAAAAGAATGAATGTTAATGTTTATTTATTTGTCCTATCTCAAAGTGTGATTGATTTTTAGGTATGATTCTCTATAACATGTCTAGTAGTAATACAAATAATTTTAATTTTGACAATATAGGATGGTAATACTGATATACTGTCAACTTAACATGATTTTTGAAAAAAAAAAAAAAATCAGTTCAATTAGACCACTAATGACTGTCAAAAAATGGTCCGATTCATTTGGTTTTATATTTAGTCATTAGGACGTATAAGACACTACCTATAACATTATTCAGTGCAAATACTCTGATATATCTTTTAGTTTTAACATTTTTTTCTTAGTTTCTTTTCAGCAGCAGTGCTGTGCACCAAATGGCTCATTTTACTACAAGGTATAAGAGCTCAAACACAGATACATGAACTACCTTTTTAGCTGTTGCCCTATAAAACTGCGTAACATATTTGTGATCCTCTGTGCTTTTTCTCAGTTCTGGGAAATTCCACATTAAGCAAGGCTGATTCAGTCAGACTAGTTGATGGCAGCAGCTCATGTTCTGGACGAGTGCAGGTTCTCAGTTTTGGAGTATGGGGATTGGTGTGTTATGAAGGCTGGGATTTGTTAGACGCAAATGTGGTGTGTAGAGAATTGGGCTGTGGGGAAGCTAAAGAGGTGAAGACGGCCGCATATTTTGGGCCGAGCTCAGAACAAGTATGGATAAATGAGGCGAAATGTGTTGGGATTGAATCCTCTCTGACAGAATGTCCAGTGAGTTCAACGGACACTTTGATAAACAGAGCATGCATAGGTGACTTGTATGCTGGAGTCATCTGTCAGCGTGAGTAAAAAACAATATTTTTAATTGTATATCTAATCATGCTCTATATTATCACACTTCTTTTTTTTTTTTTAATGCGTCTCCTCAGTAAGAACGAGGTTGGTGAGTGGCTTCAACTCCTGTTCTGGACGAGTGGAGGTTCTCTATAATGGAATATGGGGAACAGTGTGTGATGATGACTGGGATCTGTCAGATGCTGCAGTGGTGTGTAGAGAGATGGGCTGTGGGGATGTGATAGAGGCAAAGAGTGATGCTTATTTTGGAGAAGGTTTTGGAGAAATATGGATGGACGATGTGAACTGCTCTGAAACTGATCATGCATTGAGCAAATGTGATTTTCAGCCGTGGGGAGAGCATAACTGTGACCATTCAGAAGATGCTGGAGTCATCTGTCAGTGTAAGTGAACCACTGCAATTAACTGCCTTTTGTATTGTATTTATTTCAGTGTTTGTAATTTAACAAAAGTCAATATGATTGTAATTGCTTGTCATAAGTGTTTTGTTTTCTTTTGCATCAGCCCTAATGAGGTTGGTTGACGACATTGACTCTTGTTCCGGAAGAGTGGAGGTTCTCCATAACGGAATATGGGGATCAGTGTGTAATAATGGCTGGGATCTGTCTGATGGTGCAGTGGTGTGTAGAGAGATGGGCTGTGGGGACATTAAACAATTAACCGCTTATTTTTTTGGAGCCACATCAAGACAAATATGGATGGACGATGTAAACTGTACTGGGGAAGAAGTAGCACTGAGCACATGTGCATTTCAGGGATGGGGAACACATGACTGTAAATTTGCAGACCACGCTGGAGTCATCTGCAGTCGTGAGTTGCAAACCGCCAATTCCAGTTAAAGGAATAGTTCACTCAAAATTGATATTGTCATTTTTTGAGGGGTTGCTCACTGCAGAGCCCATGGGTGGAGCATTGGCTATGTTAAAGACACACCCCCAAACCGTAGCCATATGGATAAACCTATTTGGCTTAATATCCACCTCTTAGTTGCACAGAAGTGGACTAGCTAGTCAAAAAGTATTTGACCCTGCAGTGAGCACCACTTGCATTGTGTGCTCACCCTCATGCCATTCCAAGCCTCTATGCAGTTATTTGCTTTAAATCTTTCTTTTGAGAATTTTTTTTTCATTTGACCTAAGTCAGGATAGCGCCATATTTATTTTTTGATAGGAATGAAAAGAAGGCTTTGAGGAGTAGAATACAGTTCAATAAATTGTACTGCTGTTAAATAAAAAAAACTTTCAGTAGACCAAAACTCCATGAAACAGTTTTAAAACATGCGAGTTGTGAAAATTATGTGATCTAAGACCTTTAGCCCATTGTATGAACTGTATTCCTTATCCCTCACAGCATACTTTGTCTGCCTTCAATTTATCTGCAATATGGCATCTAACTCAACTAATGTCTATGAAGGCATCATACAAGTAAATAAGACAGAATTTACATTTCTGTGCAATTTATTATGTTAGCAGATTAGTGCATATTCTCAGGTGCAATGTTATGTAACCTATGCTACGCTAAAATCAAGATCTGAAAAGCTCTTAGTGAATGAGTAAATTAATTAGACCGAGTATTAGCATCACCACTTTTTGTAATTGTTTTTTTTTTTGTTCTTTTTATCAGTGTGGTGTAAAGTGTAAAAAATATCTTATAAATATTAGTAGATTATAAGCCGTGCATGCATTTGTGTTTAATCTATATTGCATTCTATAAATAAATTCTACATCAGTAAATTAATTTTTTTTATCTTATTCCGGTAGAAATGGTTTGAAAACTAAAGTAATATTATTTTTATATAATAATACATTTTCCTAGTACAAGAATATAATCCATAATTTGACAGATTTGATTTATCATAAAGAAAAAAGAAATTCTAACCTAACTTTGCATCTTTTATGCTTCTCTTTAGCGTTCTCTATCACATATGGTGACCCTGACCCTGGCCAGGACTTACACTCGCGTATGAAAGTGCTGTTGAGGTTTGAGGTGAAAACTGACTCCGAATTCAACCTAAATGATCCTGGAACCATGAGTAAACTCTTGGAGGAGGTGAGAGAAGTGGAGTAACAACGAGCTGCATCTTTCATTACTTTTTGCTGTCATCCACTGACTGCTCATGTTACTATTGTTCACTCACAGATGGGGAAGAAGTTACAAATAAGCGGACCTTTCTCACTGACTTTAAAAACTCAGCCAGATGGAAAAGTGTTCCAGAACGTCTCCCAGAAAAAGAAAGTTCCATAACATTCTGGATAATATTTTTTAATTAAATTGCAATAGTTTCATTTCACATGTACAAAATGCAGGTTGCCAATTATTTAACTGTATTTAACTGTTATCTAACAAATTAAAAATATATAATTATTTTTGTATGTGTTACATGCTTTAAAATGTTGACTTTTATGTTACTAATGTAGTTGACTGCCTTTCAGGCAAATGCACCCATCAATATAGTCACCAATATTGCAAAACAAATTAATATCCCTCAATTATTGAAGTCATTAAAATGGCAAAAGATGTCAGCCTTTGTGTATATGCTTTATAATCATGTCCTGCATGTTTTTGTTTTAATAGCCACACAGTCTAAAATAAAAGCCAGCTTTCCATCAATCTAAAGATTGAGATAAATTTGTTATCATTTGGTTGTAACCAAAAACCATCTTTTAGGCAAATTTACATCTGGTACATTGCTTTTTCAGCACAACTGACATTCTGAAATGTTCTAGGGGGTGTTGGTTCTTGGTCTGAAGAGTCTAGGGTCAAATCTCACTCTTGGCAATCCCCCACCCCTTGGGCATGCATTGCACCACTGACACCCATCACAGACACTCAGCTGGGATCTAACCAGCAACCTCTGAATCCGTGAGGCAGCACTCTTACCTGAGAGCCACAGATCTCTTCTCAGTTCTTGTGAAGGAACTTATATTTCACTGTTATCCTGAGTGTTTCCAATAAAACCGTTAAAGTGAGATTAGAATCCGTGTCTTCATTACTGCCTTGCCTTTCATCCTAAAGTGTGTTTTAATCCACTCGCCTATTCTGGATTTCACGACAATAGCTGGTTTTCAGGACTCCTTGTCTAATGAGTTAAATTGAAAGTCAGCAATAGTGGATTTGAACTCCAGGCACTGCAGTTGAAACTCAACACTTTGTCTCCTGAGCCACTGAGACTGCTGAGGTGATGAGCGTTTTCAACAGGTTTGATCCAGAGTTTTCTGTTAAATGATAAATAACTTCAGTGAATGTGGGATTTGAACCAGGACTTGCTGATTTATAAGGGGGTCAACTATCCACTGACCCTGTGATGCAATGACAATCATTTAAATTTGTAGTTCATCCTCACCCATGTTTAAGCTGGCTAAAAGATGGTCATCGTTGATTGATAACATATCGACTCATCAACTGCAAGATTGTTTGTGTATTTATTGCTGTATTTTTTTATTATTATTTTTTTTTGTAATTCACACAAATCACCACTGGAGGGCGAAACACTTTTATGTTTATTTATTTAGCAGAATGACAGACACCGAAGCGCAGTTTTCATCCGCTCCACTAGGCGGCGTGAGCGGGCCTCACTGTCAGAGAGAGCGACTCCTTTGGGTCCTTGGCAACATTGACGCTTGTTGATGACAGACGCTACAACATGTGCAGATGACAGGCACACAACTGGACATATTTCAGCAAATACACCGACATAAAGTCCGATAACATGCGGGAATTGAGTGTCATTTAACTTCTCGGTAAGTAACTTTGGACATAAATTTGTAAAATGATATCGTGACGCTTAATGTTTTGTATAATTATATTTTTCGCTGATGCATCGTTCTGCTGAAATGTGGGCTCGTCAGTGTAATGTTCATGGTGTCTGTAAACTAAATGTTGTTTAAGCTTGTTATGAAAGCATTTGTGTCTTCTACAAAAAGCGAAAAACTCATTTTTAATCAGAATGATAAGGAATGTTGTTTTTTGTGTGTTGTTATTGTAGTCTTACTGTAGGTAATATACTGGATTGATGTTTGTTAATAGAGTCAGTTGCTCTGATGTTTCTGCTGCTTCAGTGATAATGATTTACTTCTAATGAAAACCATCATACATACAGTACAGAACAAAACAGGGTTAAACCGTGTGCTGGAAACCAGCCTTTTAGGATTACTGTACATTTAAAACCTAAGCTTGTCATATGATCTCTTGTTTATTTTTGTTACATGTCATTGCACATAATACTTCTATGCAAACTAAATATAGCTCATCCCTAATTTCTCCTCAGCAAACGTATACAAACACACTCGGATTTTTCGAAATATAATTTAAAAATTATTATGAATAACATTAATAAAGAAAAAAATACTAAAAAACATTAAGCAATACAATTTTTGTTTTCAATTATTCGTGTTTATTTGAAGGAAAGTACACCTTAATTTGAATTGAATTAAAAGATTATTATTGATACAGCCTTACTGAACTATACTATATTAATATAATAGTTATATATTTTCACACTGTACAACTTTAGACTTTTAATTTATTCCATTTCCTTCTATTGATTAGTCTTTAGACTAACTTTCACATTCTCATTTATAGATGTAGAATATATAATATAGAGTATTTCTAAAACTATCTTTTTAATCTTTAAAAAAAAAAAAATCTTTTTTTTCATGTCTTTCCTTACAGAAGGAATGTGTTTGGACCATTACATCCAGTCATCAGAAGCAGAGCTGTGGGACGTGTGGACAGACATTGACTGTAATGATGGACTTCTGCTGATGGACAGGTATGTACATGCTTATGTTTTACTGTACTAAACATGTAGGTTCCCATCATTTTCTTTTTGAAGGGCCTCCCCCTTTGAAAAGCAAATGATGGGAACCTAAGCGGGTGGGGAAGGGACGAGGAGGCGAAATTTGTATATAAAAAAAAATTTTTTTTTTCCTTGTTTCCAAAAAGCATAACCCCTGCTGCTGACTGTCCCGGAAGCTCCGGGGGGAGACCGTACTGGTATCCCCCTCCTTTGGGCGCGCCACTCACACAACATCCACTCCTATCGCGGAGATCTGGCTGGGATCAAACCAGCAACCTCTGAACCCGTGAGGCAGCGCTCTTACCTGTGAGCCACAGATCTCTTGCTGATGATGTGCTGGAACTTATATTTCACTGTTATCCTGAGAGTTTCCAATAAAGCAGTTAAAGTGAGATTTGAATCTGTGTCTTCATCAGTCTTGTTCTCAGAGAGTGTGTGTTTATCCACTCGCCCATCATGGATTTCACATTGACGGCTGGTTTTTGGGGCTCCTTGTCTAATGAGAACTATTGAAAGTCAGCAATAGTGGGACTTGAACTCAGGACGCTGTGATCGAAACACAACTCTTTCTCTCCTGAGCCACTGAGACTGCTGAGATGAAGAGCATTTTTAACCGGTTTGATCCAGAGTTTTGTGTTAAATGATGAATAACTTTAACAAACATGGATCTGAAACAGGACTTTCTGGTTGGTAAGGTTGACAACTATACGCTGAGCCTGTGAGTCAATTATGTTGTTTTAGATTTCAAGTTTAAAGTTCTTAGCGTATGTAAAAGATTATCGTCATTGATTAATAATTCATTGACTACTCAGATCTATTCTTATAAAAAAAAATTTTATTTTTAAGTTATTCTTTGTATCAACTGTATCAGTGTGTGTGTGTGTGTGTGTGTTGTGAATTGTGTTGTCCTATCGTCTTTCTATATAAATGCAAAAAAAGTCAGATCTAAAATTATTTTAGCCCTCCTGTGGTGATTTGTATGAATCACACCGTTGCAAATAAAGTCTAAAAAACTGTGCCCTCCTGTGGTGATTTGTGTGAATTACATATAGAGAGTAAAAGAAAAGTGATGATTTGTGTGAATTACACCGTTGCAAACCGAGTCCGATCGAGTCAAATAAACATAAGTGTTTCGCCCTCCTGTGGTGATTTATGTGAATTACACCGCTGCAAATTTCTTCTGTCCTCTCTGTTCTGTCCTTCTGTTAAAATACATACATACATAACGTTACACACACACACATACATACATACAAAAAAACTAGGCTTTCTCATTCAAAAGCAAATCATTATTTTCTGCACCACAGAGCTTGTCAAACATGTTGCTGCTGCAATTTTACAGGAACTTTAATCCAAAGTCTCAGATGTGATAGACCAACGCCACTTTTGCGTCATCGAAGGGTGAGTTCAAATCACACTATTGCTGACTTTCACTTGTTCTCATTAGACAAGGAGTCCCCAAAACCAGTTGTTGTTGTAAAATCCATGGTTGAGTGGATAAACAGTCTCTGAGGACAAGACTGTGATGAAAACATGGGTTCAACTCTCACTTTAACTGCTTTATTGGAAACTCTCAGGATAACACTGAAATATAAGTTCCAGCACATGTCTTGAAAGATATCTGTGGCTCACAGGTAAGAGCGCTGCCTCACGGGTTCAGAGGTATCTGTGATGGGAGTGTGTGTGAGCAGCAGGTGCTTGAAGGAGAAGGAAACCAGTACAGTCTCCAATGGTGTAATTCACACAAATCACCACAGGAGGGTGACACTCTTTTATTTTTATTACAATTGATTTGCAATGGTGTAATTCACACAAATCAGGGCGCAACACTTATGTTTTTAGACTTGATTTGCAACGGTGTAATTCACACAAATCACCACAGGAGGGCGACACTCTTTTATGTTTATTACACTTGATTTGCAACGGTGTAATTCACACAAATCACCACAGGAGGGCGAAACATTTCTAAGTTTATTTAGACTCGATTTGCAACTGTGTAATTCACACAAATGACCACAAGAGGGCGAAACACTTTTATGTTCATTTAGACTCGATTTGCAACGGTGTAATTCACACAAATCACCACAGGAGGGCGAAACATTTTTAAGTTTATTTAGACTCGATTTGCAACGGTGTAATTCACACAAATCACCACAGGAGGGCGAAACACTTTTACATTCATTGGACTTATATTGTTTTGTTGTTTTTATTTGCAAATATATCTATTTGAATTTTGAACAGAAGACAGGACGGAACATAGATAGTGTAAATAGTTCTGTTTGGAAGTTCTTATGTTTTTCTCCTCTCACCCTCTTACAGAAGTGTAGCGCATTTACACTAGCTCGTTAGACGATGTAGTTTACATAGATCTCCGCTGATGGGTTAAGCTGATTCTCGGGAATAAGACTGAATTCGCAAGGCCTACAATCACCACATGAGGGGGCAACTCTTTTATATTTATTAGAATTGAGGTGCAATGGTCTAATTCACACAAATCACCAAAGGAGGGATACACTCTTTTATGTTTTATACACTTGATTTGCAATGGCGTAATTCACACAAATCACCAAAGGAGGGATACACTCTTTTAAGTTTATTACACTTGATTTGCAGTGGTGTAATTCACACAAATCACCACAGGAGGGTGACACTCTTTTAAGTTTATTACACTTGATTTGCAATGGTGTAATTCACACAAATCACCACAGGAGGGTGACACTCTTTTAAGTTTATTACACTTGATTTGCAATGGTGTAATTCACACAAATCACCACTGGAGGGAAACACTCTTTTATGTTTATTAGACTTGATTTGCAATGGTGTAATTCACACAAATCACCACAGGAGGGTGACACTCTTTTAAGTTTATTACACTTGATTTGCAATGGTGTAATTCACACACATCACCACAGGAGGGCGCAGCACTCATGTTTTTTAGACTCGATTTGCAACGGTGTAATTCACACAAATCACCACAGGAGGGCGAAACACTTTTACATTCATTGGACTTATATTGTTTTGTTGTTTTTATTTGCAAATATATCTATTTGAATTTTGAACAGAAGACAGGACGGAACATAGATAGTGTAAATAGTTCTGTTTGGAAGTTCTTATGTTTTTCTCCTCTCACCCTCTTACAGAAGTGTAGCGCATTTACACTAG